TACATCTTATTGGCAACAATGTACTTTAAAAAGTAATAACTGATGTTTGAAATGGGGGTGGGGATTAAAAAACTGAGTAGTGCACTGAAGAACAAATAGAAAGACACAATAAGGGGAAGTATTAGCAGTATTAGTGAGAAGGGGGTAGTGTTAGGGGTTATTTCATTTTTGTTTTTTTCTTCCATCTCTCTCTCTCTCTCTCTCTCTCTCTCTCTCCCTTTATCTTCAGCTTTCTTATCCTCTTTTGTCTTTTTTTAAATATACTAATGAGTAGCTTTCTCTCCAGGGTTGGTCTTTGGAAAGGCCATCACATATCCTCTCTATAGGCAATGAACACCAGCAGGCACCCTCCTAGGCGGGACGCTGAGGTACAAGGGTCGGGAATTTTTCCCGATAAGCCTAAAGGGAATAATTGTTTGTTTGGATTTTCTTTTGTTGCTTTGTTTTCTTTTGGTTTTTTTTCCCCTTTGTATTGTTTTGTTGGTTCCTTTTCCATTTTCTTCCTTCTTTCTTAGGGGTGGTCCACCCTACATTCCTCTATGGTCCAACATCTGGAAACCTGCTCATCTTGGGGAGTGGTGAGTTATACCTGTGCTGCCTTATTTTGTGCTTTGACCTTAAACTGGGGTCATGATGACTACACATAGACCATTGATATTTGCTTCCCACAATGTTCGCGGTCTAAACTCTCCAGCGAAGAGAAAAATGGCATTTCAATATTACCACTCTCAGCGAGTGAACCTTCTCTTCCTTCAGGAAACTCACTTCCCGATTTCTTATCAACCTGCCTTTCTTAACAAATACTATCCTCAGTTTTTTCTGAGCAATGCCTCCGACAAGACTAGAGGGGTTGCCATTTGCTTTGCTAAAAATGTTTCATTTCGCTTGTTGCTGGAGATAGGAGACCCAGAGGGGCGAAATTTACTATTGAAAGGGCATTTAAAATTACACTCTTGTCCTATTATGCCCCCAACTCGGCCCAGGTTCCGTTTTTCACTTCTATGCTAAAAACCTTACTACCTCATTTTGAAGATAGTGATCTGTGCCGGAGATTCTAATCTTGCCCTTGACAGTAATCTGGATAGGACTTATAATGGAGTATATAGACCTAGACGTCCCCAGAAAGCTGGTATGTGCCTTGCAAAACTGTTGTATTCTCATTCTCTAATAGACATATGGAGGGAAATGAACCCTGCGGTGAAAGACTACACACACTTTTCCTCAGCACATCATAGTTATGCTAGGATAGATCACTTCTTTGACTCCGCTTCTCTTGTGCCTCTGATTGCCTCCTCCACCATTAGGGAGACGGCATGGTCAGATCACTCTTTGATGTTAATGGGACTCACTACACTATCACTAGCTGCTAAACCTTTTTGCTGGCGCTTGAACGAATCTCTATTGGGGAAGGCGGTAGTACAGGGCGAGGTCCATTCACATTTGGAATCCTATTTTGTTATTAATGCCACACCTGATATGTCCCCTACTATTGTACGGGCGGCCCATAAGGCGACAATTCGAGGCCGACTAATTGAATTGGCTACCAGAATAAAGAAGAGGGCAACCATACGCATAAATGAACGGGACACGGAACTTCAACGTTTACCTCGGGCTCATAAGCAGACTCCGTCATTAGATCTCTCGAAACCCCTGGATAAAACTAGATTAGAATTGAACTTGTTACTAATAACTAAAGCGGAAAAAAGTCTTCGATGGTCAGATAAGAAATATTATGTCCATAAAGACAAAATTGGTACCCTTTTAGCTACTAAACTATCCCCTAAACCTAGAGTTTATACGTTCCCTAAAATTTGATGTACCTCTGGCACATACTCATTACATCCAACTGTTCTTCAGGAGTTCCACTTGTTTTTCACTAAACTCTATCAGGATAACACTCCAGTTTCATCCGATTCATTGGGATCATTTCTCAGTGAGGTTCACCTTCCATCCTTGTCACTTGACCATTCCATGATTATGGAAGCACCCATCTCGGCACTGCAAATTAAACAAGCTATCAAACAGGCAAAATTGTCATCTGCTCCAGGTCCGGATGGACTGCCTGCCTTATATTATAAGAAGTTTTCGGATGTCTTGGTGCCTCACTTGGAGAGATTCTTTAATGAAGTGAGACGGGGGAGTCCCTTACACACATATTTAAATCTCCAACTATAGACTAATCTCCTTGATAAACAATGATTTAAAACTCCTAACTAAAATTCTTGCTAATCGATTGAGCTCCTTCCTACCCTCCTATAGCCATAAGGATAAAGTGGGCTTCATTATGGGTAGGCAAGGCCGCGATCAAATTAGAAGGGCCATTGATATTATCACTTTGTTGCAGTCAGGGTGGGATGCAGGGCAATCACAATCTGGGCTTCTGTTGTCTATAGACTTACAAAAAGCCTCTGATTCAGTGTCTTGGCGATACCTTTTCCAGCTGCTTGAGAGATGGGGTTTTGGCCCCCTCTTTCTGAGCACGTTGCGGGCCTTATACACCACTCCGTCAGCACAAATTAGGCTACAGGGCCACATCTCTGATTCCATAGCTATCTTTAAAAGGCACATTTCAAGGTTGTCCACTTTCCCCACTGCTTTTTGCATTAGCGATAGAACCCATAGCGATTGCGATCTGTGCTAATGTTAATATTAAGGGAGTGGGCTGTGGTAGGCAGGAGCATAAGTGTGCTTTATTTGCGGATGACTTGCTCCTGTTTGTCACTTCACCCTCGACCACACTTCCTAATGTCCTGTCATTGTTGACTCAATTTGCTGGGGTATCTGGATTGCGGGTCAATGCATCCAAATCATTGGCTCTTAATATCAATATGCCCCAGGAATTGTGGTCTCGGCTCTCGGAACATTTTTATTTTACCTGGTCCACGGAGGCTTTGCAATATCTAGGGATTAAGCTTACACCTGTCTTTTTACAACTATATAAGAAAAATTATATACCCCTGTTTCACCAACTCTGGGAGGATATATCTCAATGGGACTCCTGTAATTTGTCATGGCTGGGTCACATTCATGCACTCAAAATGACATTGCTCCCCAAGATCCTATATTACTTTCGGGCTCTACCCATAGCTATACATAAGCCAGTTCTTTTGAAATTCCAATCCTTAATTATTAAATTTGTTTGGCATGGAAAAACATCCTAGACTCTCGAAAAATGTACTGCACCGTTCTAAACAGACAGGGGGTTTGGGTGTTCCCAATCTCTTGCAATACTATAAGTGGCCGGTGGCTCAGCTTTCCTCTGTGTATGACCAGGGTTACACACCAGATTGGATCCTAATGGAATCTCTCTCTGCCTCGGTTACACCAATTGATGCCTTGAAGTGGATGTCCCTGAGGCAGAGGCCGGTCTATATGGCCCCAACCTTGTCTTGTTCTATGATGGTATGGGACTCATTCCGAAGGGGAGGTGGGTTGGTGTCGCCTCACACTACTCTGGCTCCCGTCTTCCATAATCCTAATTTCCCCCCTGGGGGGTCTCCTGGAGTGTTCCATTGGTGGCAAGGCAAAGGCCTATACCGCATAGCACAATTCTTTAAAGGTCGTAAGCCACTTACTTTGACCTACTGTCGGGAGGATTTGCACATGCCATCTTCTGGAATACTTTCACTATAGACAATTGTTACACATTTTAGGTTCTTTGAAAACACCTAACGTGATGTCTCCCTTTAAAACAACCTACGAACATTGGAGTCTTGGAGCCGAGGGCCAGAAGGGGGGCGTTTCGCTGCTCTATTCCCTCTTGGTAGACTCAAAGTAAATTACCCTATATGTTAGCTTGGGAACAAGACCTGGAAACGGTTATTCCACTGGATGTCTGGCATCAATGTTGTTCCCGTGTGTCATCTGGTTTACTTAATATTTCACTAATAGAAGCTAATTATAAGGTTTTATCTAGGTGGTATATAGTTCCTGCCAGATTAGCGAGAATATACCCAGAGGTTTCTCTTCATTGTTTTCGGGGATGTGTTCACCCGGGCACGATGTATCACATATGGTGGGAATGCCCTAAATTGAGACCCTTTTGGAACCGGCTTTATGCTCTAATATTTAGGGTTACTGGGGTGAGAATACCACGAGATCCCCAAAATGTGTTGCTGAATTGCCAGATTCCAGGACTGTCTAAAGCTTTGGATAAATGAATTACTTTCTTTTTGTTGGCAGCCAAAATAACCATAGCTAGGGCTTGGAAATCGCCAACAATTCCATTCCACTTGGCCAAACAAAAAATGTTGTGGATTATGATCCATGAGAAACTTCACAGCATCCTCCAAGATGCTAAAAAATGCTTTGAATTGACCTGGACCCCCTGGATGTTCTATACAGGGGTGCTGGAAACCGGTCATTTCCATTGTACAATTTTTCTGGTATTTTTTCTCTGGGGACTATGTTTAATGTTTAAGTAGATGTTGGGCTATTTGGTCGGGGATGGATCTACTCTTTTCGGACTCTTAAGCTGTTCTGCTTCTTTTAGTATCTATTTCCTTTTCCTCTTCTTTTTGTCTGTTTCTTCCTTCTTTAGGCTCGCACACGTGAGCTGTTTAGTACATTGATGTTGGACAGAAAGTCTTCTATTTATATAGATATGGAGGAGATCATAACAAATGCTTGCTTCAGACACAGGTGGATCCCTATGCCTGATATTCCTCTCAGACTATCTTGATTTTGTTTTTGCTAATGGGGGATAAATTGGCAAGAGTAGGTGGATAGATATGTTCTGTTTCACAGAATTATTATGCATTGTGTGTATGGTTTCTAGTGATCCCCTCTTACTACTTGACTATGCTAAAGTGGAAGACTCTGAAATGCAATTGTATGCTATACTGTTTGTGCATCATGTGCTATCTTATTGTTTTATTCTACTCTGGAAAAATTAATAAATTACTTTGAAAGATAAAAAGTAAATAGCCTTTACTTCTTTAGTAAATGAACCCTAGATATAAGTCACTGACTGTGACTTATATCTCAGAAACAGTTAACTGTTAAAGCCCAACTCCTGGATATTTGTTTTTTATTAAAGGAGAACTATGATATGAGGGATTTCCACTCACCTCATAGTTCTAGACGACCTGTGACAATGAGACTGTCACAGGTCGGCTCAGTAGATCGGGAGGTGAGCGAACACATACCGGGTTCGCTCACCTCTCGATCCTGTCACGGCTCTCTGCCGTGACAGGGGGAGGGGCTGGATTCCCCTCTCCCCGCTCCGATCTGCCAGCGCTGATTGGCGGAACGGACGGGGGAGGGGGCGGGTACAGCTGGCTCAGCCTCTAGATAGGCAGAGCCAGCTGTCACTCACGCAGCTGGGCGGATCTCGACGTCCATGTCGGGATCCGCTCCGGCTGCGGCGTCTCAGTATACCGCGAGCTGTAGCTCGCGGTATACAGAGCTTAGGGTAACGGGAGGACGCTAGTTTGTGACCTCCCGTTACCCTAAGGAGAACTATGGGGAAAAACACTGACCCCATAGTTCTCCTTTAAGGTCCCCTAGTAAGTAGCAAAATAAAAATGCAGTTTTTTTAGCTTTTTTTATAGCTTTTTTTTTATAGCTTCAATCCGGAGATCAGTATTCCAGGTTGAAGGACACTGGGCATTATTTAAACCCATAAGACTGAGGATATATTGTGAGTGGAAGGTGTCATGGATCCATCCCCGAGGGGACATTACTATGGCGCCCTGCACTGACAGTACAATGACACAGAGAGTGGTGCTGATGTCACCATGTGAGCAATTTTTAACTGACCTAAAGACATCTGTAAATATGTACATAGAAATAACATAATATACACATGGTGAGGGGGAAATCAAAGGATGTGCGTCTTCTTGTTAGAATACACATTACTGTGTTTATAGCAATAGCTCCTGCAGTATACAATTTCGGTCACTAGATGGTACTGTTTATAAGTTCTGTTATACAGTATCTATGGTAGACTCTGTTGTATTGAATGAGGTAGAGAATAAAGATGTGGCTTCCTTCCTGTTTTCAAGCCATGAGCAGCATGCATATCAGACTGTGTGATTGTGTTTCTCTGTGAGGCTGTGCAAGAAGTTCCAACACTTCTGAGGGAAGAGCCCTGGAGTGGGGCTCTAAAGGAGGATCATTGTAATTTACCCTGACTATAGTGGAATATCTTCAAACATCTAAATTGAATATAATAGCCAAAATATACAAGAGACAAATTTAAAACATCAGCAATTACTTTAAGATAAATGCTGCAAAGATAACTGAAAATATATGCTTATTAAATATAAAAAATACATTCCATTTAAGCATTTAATTTTAAACTAATGTTATATCTAATTGTTCATTTTGCTCAGTTTATATTATAAATGTTCATGTCTAAATATAATATTTCCCTAAACCATTACTGTGCTTTTGAGACATTAGAATTGAGACATTCATTGGGAAACACACAAGACACCAGGAGATGGGGCAAAATCATAGCAACATTATTGATGTAAATTACTTTAAGAACGCAACTCCTTCCGAAGTAGAGGGTGTGTTATATCTCCGCATGTACTCATGCATCTCCGGAAAACTCTTCTTCACATAATCTTCAGCACTGCTCTCTTTCACCGTTCCGAAGCGGAACCCCTGGGAGGGATGATGGAGCTATAAAACAAAGATTAAACGGTTATTGCAGGATTATGGCACAATCAGAGATGTCATTTTCTTTTTGTTACATAAATGACAATCAAAGATGAAATGGAAGTTAGGAGACTACAGAAGCAAAAATGAGATAAATGCAATACAATAACATGAAAGCATTTAAAGCAGCAAGAAATATATCATAAACCAAAGATTAGACTGTTCATCTGTTTACGTATAAAATGGCACTTAACAAAGGAGCACTGCAAATGCTTGTTAGTGTTTACTCTGAGCCACTTACATAGTTAGTTAGGATGAAAAAAGACACAAGTCCATCGAGTTCAACCTTTTGACAATATTACTATTTAACTCCTGGCCTTCTGCTACTACCATGATGTGTAGGATGCTTCAAGGAGGAAGTGGAAGAACAAGCCAGCACCCTTATAAAGATATATTAAGAGACATTATAGAGAAAAGTGAGTGCTCTGATAAGATAAAGTCTGTTAGTGGAAAATAAATGTTGATTATATAATATCACAATCCAGACTATATAGTTAAAGTTGAACTCTAGGTAGATATACAGTAAAAGACACACATTAATGCCGCTCTGTAATAATTAATACATCACTGAATGTATTTCTTAAATGCTGGCAGCATAAGTGTTTGAATTTGACCTGGAATCAGCCTCTTGGAGTCCCTGTACAGTGTTAGAGGAAAAAGTAGTACAGGGAGCTAATCAGTATATGTCCTGACAAGAAGCATGCTGATAGGAGCAAAGTGAGCAAAAGAGATTGATCTCAGTGCTGCTTCTCCTATGACTGTCCAATCACAGGCTAGGGCAGCTACAGGATGACCTGAGCTCAGAGAAAATGGGTTGAATGATGCTGATATCAGATGGAGAACATCTAGCCTCAGAAAAAAGCACTACTGAGGAAATCTCTGGATTAAAGCTGAATATTGCAGCAAAAACTGGTTTTGTTATTTTAACTTTCTCATGGGTTATTCATTTTTATCTCATTATTTTTTGGCTGGAGTTCTGATTTACCTAGGAGACAAGAGTCTTGAAAAAAAACAACAACATTATCTGCTATGATTCTATTAAATTATTCTAAAGGGTTAAAGTGAACATGTGCTTTGGCCATGCAGGATGAAGCAACAAATTCACTGTAAGGCTCAAATTAACTTTTAGATTAATTCAGCTAAATCTATTCCAGATGTATTAAAACAAAAGGGGTGCAACGTCTTACAGCTTGTTTCTTTAGAAACAGCCACAGCCTGAGTAGAAAAGCCTGTTCCCTGCCAGCATGTTGCTGTGTTGGGCCCTTTCTCGCTGTGGGGAAGCAGTGATCTATTGGCAGTGGTTTGGCAGGCCCCCTACTGAGTCAGGGCTAGAGCTTTGCAATCAGTGGGGAACATGAGCATTGCCGATTGCAGGTAGAGGCCTGACTCAGTAGAGGGCATGTCGGAACTGCAATGAGGTCACTGCTACTGTGCAGAAAGCAAGGGTCCCACTTTGCAACTTCTGGCAGAGGACAGACTTTTTTTAACTTAAAATGTAGGAACATTAGAAAATAAACCGTAACATTTTGCTTTGATGTATCTGGAAGGTATTTAGCTGATATAAATGGAACATTCAGTTGTGCTTTAAAATGATATTAAAGTCAAAAGGATTTTAAGCTATTCCAATTGCAGAATAAATCACTGACAATGGATACTACTTGTTGATGTTTAAAAGTTAGTTTCCTACATAATTGGCTGGTCCCCTGAGCACTGGTCCTGACCTGTTTTAGAGTGCCTTCTTTCTCAAGCAGAGTTTTATGCAACCACCCTTGTGTGTGCTGGCGAGCTGTGTGTGCCTCTTAAAACACACAGACAAAGCAAAGCAAGCTAATACCCTGCCCCATGGCCCCCTCTCCTTCCTCCACCCTTCTACAAGTTAGTAGATTTGCTGAAGATTGTGCTCTCCCTTGTGATATTTGCACTGGACAGGATGTTCAGGGAAGCTGAGCTGAGATATTTGGAAGCAGCTGTTCAGAAACATGACTACTGTAAGTGCTTGGTCAAAAATATAAGGAAACACTTTGCTGGGCAATGTATGTTTGTTAGATCTGGGTTCATTATTGAAAAGTAATTTGAGAGTTTAATACTACTTTAATGTTGCTCTCTTCACCCTGCACATATACTTACTTCTCTTACCTCTGTGCCTCTACTGCTATGGTCAAAATCTAGCTATTGAGGAGCATGTAGCACACTCCTCTTCTCCCCACAACACAATGTTGGGTGCCTGAGCAGCCGATCAAGTGTTACAATATGGGGATGGGAAGAGAGTCTTAATGGGAAGAGAGTCTTAAGCACTGTAAAAGCTCCAAAACAGAAAACAGTGTTTTGGTGAACCTGGTTCTTTGCTGTTTAAGGGCACTGGGCAGGCTTACTTAACTTATTTGCAATTTTTCCAGACCCCATCAGTGTCACTTGGCATGCAATGGCTTGAAACAGCCATTATAAAGCTATAGTGGAAAAAAAAAGAAAACAAACGTTTACAAAAAAGATTGTTAAAATCTTTTAAACAGCATTTCAGATGCATGTCCAGGGGCCTTTTAAGCCATTGTTACAACAGGAATTTAAAGGGTGTAAGCCTTCAGAGATATTAAAGCCAAAACCTGCAGACAGGTGATGGTATACTAAAGATGCAGTGAACTGCAATGGTTCTTCACATCTTAGGGCTAGTTCACACAAGATGCAGTTGTGGTGCAGTCCGTTCATTTTGGCAGCTGCATCACAATGCTTTCCTATGGGATTTCTGGTGCTATGCTCACATCAGTGCAGTCCATTCCGATGCAGTAAGGAAAAATATTGCTTGCCCTATTTTAGCTGCATTGGATCACAAAGGAACACATAAAAAACGCATGCAAACACTCTGGAGTAAACTGGTGTAAACTAGCCCTTAGAGAGATTTTGTCATTAAAGAGAAGAGAGATTTAGCCATGATAGAAAGGTTTGGGAGGCTGCTGCAGGTATGTTCAGGTACCCCTAGGAATTTGTCCTACTTTCCCGTAGTGACAAAGACTCGTCTTCATATTTTCTTTAAATAAAGATTTAACTGTACAAAAATATTAATTTAAAAATATGTACACAGTTTTGGTCCGCAGGACATACTTTCCTAAGAAACCTTCTATGATGTATTCATTGCTACATAATTAGGCATTTGGTGAATGTTAGGAACAGAGCTCAGTTTGACTGATTTCCTTCAATTTAGCAGAGATCAAGTGACCAAATGCCTATGTTTTTGGTCACAAGAGTAGCAAAGAAAAGAGGAAGAGGCCTTGAAAAGGCAATTATAATAGCTTTTCTTTTATTTGTCTGTAATGTCACTGTCAATTGGATCTCTTAACCAATTCACTCTGTTCAAATAAATGTTAAAAAACAAATAGTGAGATATTTCCCTTTGTTCACAACTGTATCTAAAAAGTTACATGAATTAATGGGGTTTTCATCATCCTACCCTCATTCTGCTATTACTGTAAAAAAAAACAAAAATGGAACATATACGTCTTGTATCTTTTTTTCTCTGACCTCCTTCCATAAGAAAAACTGCAGTGAAACAGAATCAGGACTTATAAAAAATGATGCGAAGATTCCTAGGCAGACATTTTGAAATAATTTTTGCTTAAATGACAGAATGTCGGTACATTGTATTTAGAGTGCCCACAACGGATACACAAGTAATTTATGTCATTATGAATAATGACACCTTAGGAATCTTCAAAAAAGACTAGTTGACTTTTCTACATAGATCGAGAAATCAGTATGCTCCGAGCCCCTTTTATCCAGTGAAGAGTAACAGGCATAGGCATATTTTTATCTATATGAATGTGGTCCAATACCTATTTCAATTCAGGACAACGTACATGTATTGCCAACTATCACAAGACACAGTGCAGAAAGTTGCATATGAAGATGTAGGAATCAGTTAAAAATAGGCTAAAATTACTTGTATATAATAAAACAAAACCGCATCTAACTACAAACTGGACATATAGAAACATTGTAATGACTGTAAACCTTGCCTATAGCTAATATTGTAAAGGAGCAGTCCGTGCATGAGGGTTGCTCAGTTATGTAGAAACAGTGAGGGAAATTTATCAAAACTGGAGCAGACAAAATCGGGAGCAGCTGTGCATGACAACCAATCAGCATCCACCTTTCATTTTCAAAGATTAACTGTACAAACTGAAGAGAGAAGCTGATTTGTTGCCATAGGCAACTGCTGCAGAATTTGTCAACTCCAGTTTGATAAATCCCCCACCCCCCATTATGTTTATTAGCTGGTTTACATTTTCTTCTCAAATAAGCATTTAAATAATATAGATAAAAAGCTCTTCATATTGCTCATCTATACTGTAACTTCATTTTGCGTTTTTACTGCTGTTCTCCTTTAACTTCCTGTGTGACTATTTCTTCTTGTTCTCCATCTCTTCAGTCTATGTGCATAAATAAATATGTCCCAGCATTTGAAGCATCTGTGCAATAAATTCCCACCTAGCACCTGTCAGACTGAAACCACCTGCAATAAACCAGTTCATAAGATATAAGACGTGAAATATCAGCATTAATAAAATGCACCCTTACCGATTGACTTGACAAATAGTAAATTATACCCTATGTCTAGCTTTATCAGCCCTCCCGACCATAAACAGAATGTGAAATAAATCTTTAGTCATAGAAACGACTAACTTAGTGCATTGATAGAAGTCATCTAATACAGGGGGTCAGGAAAGATGCCCTGTGGTCGTGTTTGTGTTTTTTTTTCTTTATTGTGTATATTTATTTTATGTGTTACACCCTTGGCAAGTGTTAAAAAAAAAAAGCATGACTGCAAATCTGTTGACAAATGTTTACTGTGGATTCCTGTGGAAAGACTGGATGGAGTACATTTGCTATGTTAAGGAACATTTAGAAATGTTAAACGTGCCTAAGCAGGACCCTGAAAATGTAACTTTGTCTTAAATTCCTCCTGAAAAATA